CTTAATTATTATTATTTTATATTATTAATATATTTGTTTATATCTATGTTTTTGACGTTTAGATGGGGGGGAAATTAATAGTATATTTCTGGGGGACTGGAATTAATTAATTGGTTTATAGTGTTTTTTAGCGGGGAAATCTAGATACGAGTGGATCGAGACACGAGTGCTGTTGTAGAACAGCTTAAACTCGTATCTAGGGTGTCCACCGTACTATATGGTTCTTCAAACGTGGAATTCACACATCTGATATTTTATCAAATGACATGACTAGAATTTTTCAACTCATGTGATATCACTTTCACCACAGAGCAGTCGTTACAAATGTTGCAAATGTTGCAAATGTGTTGACAATCTTTCAGTCGTTACAAATGTTGCAAATGTGTTGACAATCTTTGACAAAACAATTTCAGGTAAGTTTAAATCCACAGCTAGGCTAATAAAGCGATTCACTGCCATACATAGTAAATTGTTCCTGAAAAGCCAGACTAGCAGTCAACATCTGTGTCTCCTAAACTGCATCACTGAAGGCTGTAAAACGAAATCAAAGAGAGGAGGCTGTCCTACAGCTGCCTGTCCTTCTTTGTGCGAAACTATAGATTATATGTTGAGGGACATACATGAAAGGTGGCTCATTAGTCAGTCAACACTTTGAGACAACCAGGCATTTCCATGGCGACTTTAACATCCAGACAATCAGCACCTGGCTTCCACTCGCGCCCTACATGAAGCTCGGCCAGCTGAAAGAGGCTATTGTGTGAAATCGGAGCCACCCTTGTCCTCTGCCGCTTCTCTTTACCGCTCTGACTACAGATGCCCTCTGATTCAGCCAGACAAGGAGAAAGAGACACCGGAACACCACGTTCACCTGCTCACCCCCACGCCGCGAGTGCTCACTCACCATGAACGCTGCGGTTCCTTACAGATGGCCGGTGCTCCAGTGGGGGGTTTGATCTCCAAAACCCTAGCCTAGCGTCATCACTTCCCCCGTGAGGGCTCACTCCCGGCAACCAGACACCCAAGAGGTGCAAAAGGAGGCCAGAGGGACAGTCGAGCTGCCGAAGGAGGGACACACCCCGCACTGGAAAGGATGTGGAGGCAGCATGATACCCCTTTTCTCCCTCTCTTAGTCTCTCCCTCTCTACTTGCTGTCTCTCGCTCTGAACAGTGACGCTACGCTGAGTGGCTCTGCATCACATCTGACAACGGTGCTCCTCAGAGAGACTCTGTGTGTGTGTGTGTGTGTGAGAGAGAGAGGCAGAGAGAGAGAGAGAGAGAGAGAGTGTGTGTGTCAGTGTCTCAGCATCGCTGTGTGTCCTCAGCCACAGTCTATGAGCTGACGCTGCTCTGTGCTCTCTGTTCATGCCCTGCCAGGCATTCTAGCCTACCCCAGAGCAACAGATTGGGTTACAGCCATTCAGCTCTTTTCTCTTCTAGTTCAGTCTGGACTGAACAATCAGCTGCAGCTCAAGTGGAAGAACATTGTGCACAATTCCTGTCTTGTTCCAACGATTTCCAATGACATTTTTTTTTTCCATGTAGTGCAATCAACAATTCTCATTCAGTTTCCATTCATTAAATAAATAATTGTACATTTTGTATTTTATAATATTGCCAAGTCGGTTGTTCTGTGCCAGCTGTAGTTTCACAGGCTGTTTGGCTCAGAGGCTACTGCCACCGCAACTATATCATTTCTTTAGCATTTGTTTTTTCCTTACTCAACCAAATTTTGGTAATTCATTACAACAGTGGTTGTAAACAAAGTTTGATTAGAACATTTTAAGGGTTTCTGAGAAACGGTGGATAAAAAAAGATCTCCTAGAGTAATTGCTTTCACCAATATATAGTGGAAAAAATATTGATTAATGGACAGACTAACAGAAATATCTTTAAATGATCAACCCCACACAAGACACAATAAGGAAGCTTACATAGCAATGATCCAACACTGTGTGGGAAAGGACTATTACAACCTAAACCTTTGGTTTCCACTGTTAAAACAAACTTTGAGATACTCAGTTCCGAGGACTTAAAACACTGAAAATTCAGGAAAAATTCCACATAAACTACACCCTGCTGGATGTGAAGACTCACAACTCAAGTCCAAATTCTGGCTCAAACTATTTCATTGTGGGCACAGTATACGTAAGTTGAGTATATTCAGTTTGTTTGCCCAGGAGAGGACTTTCTGCTTAAGAGTAACCTAGGGCCTGTTGCTATAGTTTGTTCATGAAAGGTAAAAAATAAATTGTTGTCCCTCTGGAAATCGAGTCCATTGTGGAGTTCAGTGCCCAAAAGGGAGTGCAGATTAGTTTATTTAAAAGAGAGTGACTCAGGCAAGGCAACACTACACAAGTACTTCAGATCCTGTGTCCTTGAACTACCGAGGAAAGGGGAAAGTTGATTTTACCAAGTTGTCCTCAAAGGGAACTTGTTGAGAGTGGAAATGGCCTGGAGTGTCCCATTGCAACTGAACAATAACCTCCGGTAATAAAGCATTATACACACACACACATACACACACAAACAACTAGGGGACTCTCGTCTTGTGTCAACGGCACAAATATCCTCGTCCAATGATTCCCAGGGTCTGGTATCAGGTTCCAACCACAGATGAGATTGAAGAAGGATATAAAATTCACATACAATAACTGTGTACAATAACTGTGTTTCCATGTGATTATGTGTGTGTGTGTGTTTTTCCTTTGAGACGCAGCATTTTAATCCAACAGTTTCTATTTCAAAACCAGTACAGCAAGAATTGTAAATGGGCGAGCTTGTCTCATGGGATGAATTTGCCTTTGCAGAACGTATTTTCTACAGTTGTCCTAGGGCTATTTACAGAGGATGACACCAAATTGCTATGAAACAATCCATGGCATAGTGTGTCAAAAACACTGTAATATCAGCTTTTTGCTTTTTGTTCCCAGTATAGTAGATTTCATTTCATGGTATTGCAAAAGAAAACAGAAAAACTTTACAAACATGGCGCCCATAAGATTACGATCTTCCAGTAGATGAAAAGGTACTGGTAGATCATTAAAATCAAAAATATATAAAAATATATCAGTAAATTTATATTTAATATTAGCAGTGTAAAGTCATCATTTTAGTCATTTAGCCATTTGAAAAGCAAAGTAAAGCTCCGAAGTCACAAAAGTCTGGACCTCCTGCTCTACATCAACGCCGCAATGCAACACTTAGACCTAAAATGTGACAGAAATATTGATATGCAAATTAAATGTGAACACTGAAAGGCATTTCAAACATGGTTCCTTCTGCACAAATAGCAGGGCATTCAACTGAGAGAGCTCCTTTTCAAGCACATGGTAAATGAAAGAACAATTACAGGCTTCACAGGCCTGTAATTGTGTGCTGCCCTCTTGTTCTGTGGTTTATTTTGGTCATGACAGAGCTGTGGTGCTTTTTACCATGGCCCCGGGGTACTTCCCGCCCCCCGCCCACGCTGAATGACACTGTGAAATTACATGTCCAGTTCCTAGGTTGACAAATTGCTCCTAATGACCTTGACATTTTGGATTTCAGCTAAAAAAGGGTGTAGTGTAGGCTCAAGTCATGGCAGAGAGGGTGAGAGAAAAAGGAAGTGTCAAGAACAAGTAGCAAAGTAGCAAATTTAGCTGCTCTGTTGATGAATATTAAAATTATTACTTGATGCTTGAATTTTGAATCAATTCTATCTAAATTTTATTTTAATTTTTAGTGAAAATTCACAATATTCCGATATTTAAGTTTGGTTAAGACTAGACATGACTGATCCTTGATACTCAGCAACAGCCTTTGACTGCAATAAGCATATAAGCCAACCCCTGAAAAGTGATTCCAAAATGCTAATTTTTACAAAAACTTGCATATAAACCGACCATAAAGTTGTCATTTTCTGCCGTGGTAAAATGTCGTACTCCTGCTGTGCGCTTCAACAAAGAATTAGAAAGAAAATTAAACACTGTTTACGTTAAAACTGTGAAGATTTGGCCAATGATTGTTGCGAAGAAACGTGATTTTTTTTTTTTGCATTACAGTATATCAGTGGTACAGTTAATCAAATGATTAAATATCAGTTGTTGTGTGGATTGAATTCATTTATGAGTGTAATGATATTTCTGACCATATGTTCGACTTGGTGTTTATTATCGGTGATGATGCGATCGATGGAAAATGCTGTAGGTATTTACGCGCATAAAAGCCGACCCACGGATGTGATTTTAATTTTTTGGTGTTTTAAATTCCACTTATACACGAGTACGTACGGTAAGTGTTCAGTTCAGTGTCTTATAGTCAATTTAATTTGGTCAATAACGTTAGCAGCTCAGAGTTATTTTAACATTGGGGACAAAGACAGGAGAAATACTTAATAAGTTATTTTAACATCAGGGACAAAGACAGGAGAAATACTTAATATGAGTAATTATTGACAAGTACAAAATTGAAAATATTGAGGGATGCATGACATTTTCCGGTGAAGCTAACATGACGTAGCTTGGAAGGTCAAGCTCCAAGCTTGTTTTCATTGAAATATTTAACAGTAAGGTTAACTGCTATTATCCAAATGCCAACACAAAGTCTTTGGGAACAAAAAACATAATCCGATACTAAAACACCACCGCTTAGCAGAACAAGCCCTGATTTTTAACACTTCAATAAAGAACCTGTGCCTGAGTATAGTACGTGAGAAAAATGGATAAACACAGCACGTGTGCACACTTTTTGTTAGTTGTAATTATGTTAGTAATTTGAAAGGGAACTGGGAACAGCAGAAATCAGTATGTTGGAATTCACAGATACTTTAAACAACTTTCTTTTAGCAGTTTGAGATCAATTAAAAACTCTAGGATTAATAAGATTTAAAAAGGATAAAGGAAAAACAGCACAATATTTGTCAACATAAGAGGATTACGTGTTGGTAGAGTAGGTATGAGATTATTTTATTTTATAATGTTTTTTATTGATGGGCTTTAATGTCTTTCAGTCATCTTTTTTATTACGTGTTTAATCTATTGAGGAACTGTTTTTTTATTGCTAAGCTAATACCTTTATGTCTATTGTCAAATCATATACTTGGCTTTGGCAATCTGGGAAAGCCAATTTTTTCCTTCAATTGTTTTTTTAATGACTTAGGTTCCGTTTATATATTGTAACTCAAATAAATTCACTCTTCACCACAAAGTGCAGTTAGGATTATGCAAACTATACCTGGACCAGATGGGCCAGGACACAAACATAAAATCTTTTTATACCAATACTTGGTGTTGTACCTTTTGGATTCTTTTGGGGTCTCTGACTGGTCCTTCTCGTGGAGGGACTTTGCCAAACAGCTTCCATCCCGCATCCCTCTGTTCCACTGACCGATTGTCCTTACCTCTTCTGGCAAACAGGCTCCTGAGAGAACCAAGAAGGGTTGAAGAGAAGTGAGAGGGGATTAGAGGTTATAAATTAACACCGTCAGTGTAGCACAAACAATGACAATTGAGGTCAAGATATGAACGCAGGGGTTAAAGTTGCATCTTCATTTTTTTATTAACTACTGGTATACGACAATGAAAAGAACCTGTGGATTAGAGCACAAAGCTATTTAGGCCACTGGGAGAGCAAGTGTGTGACAGTGTATAAGCCAGGCGTGTCAAACATACAGCCCGCAGACCAAAACCGGGCCGCTGGGGGGTTCAATCTGCCTGACTTGATGATTTTTGAGTGTGATTAAATGCACAAACACATTATATTTAATTAAATATTAATATTTTGTAATACATTTGTACTTATTTGAATGACAACAAAAGAAGAAAAACATGGACTTATTGGTTGTTACAGGTAATTATGCTATGATTGTACTGGTCTGGCTCACTTGACTTCTAATCAGGCTGAATGTGGCCCCTGAACCAAAAGGATTTTGACACCCCTGGTGTAAGCCAGCACGATTATCAACCATCACTACTGCCAAAAAAAAAACCCCAAAAAAAACAAATGCAAGTTTTGCAACTTTATTTACCTCACACATTTGCAAAGCTATCAGCTCTGCTTTCAGAACACAAACAAAGATAAACCCTGGGCTTTCCTGGATGAGGAGACACACCATAGTCAAACAGTGTTTATCTTCCTTCAACTGCCTGCTGTTAAAATACCACATGCAAAGCAGGGCCTGTCATCAACACAAGCATTTGTCCTGCTACTCCTTTCATTAGTGCAGCCCTATTATGGAGTCGTCAGCTGGAGGTTTGATTAAAAAGCTTCAATAGAGCCTGGCCGTGAATGGACTGGCCAAATAATAATAAGGGTTGTCTGACCACACTGCACAAGGCCACCAGAGCCAGAATGATCAAAGGCACAACTTACTGGCATTTGTCATCTTTAGAGCTCTCGCTATTTTCATTTTGCACTGTTAACCAATACAAACCTCATACCCCCCACCTGCGATTGGTGCTATACACTTAGTTAAAGACATGTTCACACACGTATGTTCAATGCAATTTTTTGTGTACAAACAACACTTCACCTCACACTCCTGTGAACAATTAGCATAGGAGCTAAAAATGCTAAAGGCGGTGAGAATGTTTTTCATCCTGCAACTGAATGCCGCAGCAGCCAGCAAGAAAGCTAATAACGAAAAATGGATACAGTAATACCTCATGTGATTCACTTTTTTCTTGTTACTTGTATACTTGCTACTTACAGGGTAGACTAAACCACTTTTGAGGGGGTTGTCAAAAAACTAAGCTCATCCTGCTACATGTCTTCTTCTTTTTTGAACTTTACTTTCCTGTGGTAAATATTTTCCAAAAACCCTCCATTAAAAAAGTACAAACAAAACATGAGGGCAAACTCTGTATTAACATGTAGTACAACAACAACAACGAACAAGTCTGTGATGATGTCTTCTTAGCCAAATTATTTACAAAACCTCACATAATTAACAAAACAAATACAGTAGTGATTATTATAACTGTCACTTCATTTGAAGATTTCACACTACCAGGAGAGACTTCACACCTTGGACACAAGGGCAGTGGGAAAAACAGAACTGTTTTATTGGATTGACCCGCTGACTTTTGCACAGCATGACCAAAGCAACACAGTCTGCTTCGGGCTGGGGGAGTGGGAGGTGCGGGGGCAGTGATAACAGGACAACATGCTGGCGGCTGCTGAGCTGCCAAAGAGGGAGCTTAAGGGCTGTGCTAAGTAGTTTGTGCAGACCTCTTGTCTTTTTTATGTGGTCCCTAAAGCTTTCTTTTCTTAACAATAAAGTTAGTCACTTCAGGTTATCAATATAATATAAATCTATTTTAACTTTTTTTTTTAGTGTGTTTTACTAAAACAGATTACAGTAGTTTGTTTTGTCGTAGTACTATTACTACTATTAGTACTACTACTATAGTAACTATGTACTATGGTACAATCTAATACCCGATATGGTATAAAAACATTTGGTATAAAATGGTATAAAAATGTCTGGAAACATTTTTTAGCAACCCAAATATGCCACCGGGGGTTCTGTGGAGCTACAGTTTAATTTGTGAATGAAAATGGAAGCACATTTGCATTGCAAAAAAGTAATCAGGAGCAGTTTGGCAAAAAGAATACAAAAGATAATTAAAATAAAATAAGCAGTAAAAGAGCCAACTAAGATATTCAGGCAACATTCTGTTAGTGAAGCAGTTTCTGTGAATAAAATTTAAAAAAGTAAATTTAGAAGTAAATTCTGAACAATTGCATAAATAAATGTATTAAGAAAAGGATATCGAACAGACATTATAAGATAATACACATTTAGGTGTCCTTCCTGCTATCATGAGGCATGTTCCCTTCAAGTGAGCATTGAATTAATGAAAACCTACAGTACTGTCGATCTGAGTCCGTTGATATACAGTCAGGGCACCTCAATTCAGCCACTACAATTCATACAATAAGCCGGTGATTTTCAAAGAGTGAGTCGTTCCTCTCATGGGTGCTGGAGAGCACTTCAGGGGAGGTGGGAAATGTGAAAAATGAAAAGGGATAACATCATGAAAGGGGTTGTTCCATGTGCAGTGAAACAAAAAAAAAAAAGCATGAATAATCAACATTACTGCTAGGATTTAATTAAGCAACAGTGGTGCTTGCTGGCCTTCTCAGCACATCCCTGGCCCCCAGTCCTCCCGTTCCCTCACC